TGAATGACATTGAGTTTAGAAGTCTTCTAAAAAATCCAACTATCACATGGTATGCGGGTGAGTGAGATGAGGGATAAGAAACGATTACCTCTCATTTAGGGATGTTAACGGTGCCTTGCGGGGCTGGGGACCCCTCCCCATCCCCATCCCCATCCCCACGAATGACGAAGATGGGGATCCCCACAAGAATTTTTTACGGAGGGCAAATTTTGCCCTCCATCCCCATTTCCCGCGGGGATCCCCATTCCCCACCAATAAACATCAAATATCTCCGGCAGCAGCAGCAGCAGCAGATGGCTCGAATGGTGGCAACAGCAGTAGAGCAGATGGCTTCGGTTGTTCGGCGCAGCAGCAACAGATGGCTCCGATGGTGGTAGCAGCAATAGAGTAGATGGATCCGACGATAGTAAAGTAGATACATCCAGCAGCAGCAGCAAAAGAGATGGCTTCATCAGCAGCAGAGGAGATGGATTCAGCAGCAGCAATAGCAGAGTATATGTCTTTGGCACAGTAGCAGAGCAGATGGATTCGACAACAGCAGAGTAGATGGCTTTAGCAGCAGCAGGCTTCAGCAGCAACAGCAGTAGAGTAGATGTCTTCAACAGCAGCAGCAGCAATAGAGTAGATGGATCCGGCAACAGCAGAGGAGATGGATTCGACAGTAGCAACAACAAAGGAAATTGAAGGTGAGATGGAGGTGAGGGATGGGTGAGCCACAGACAAAGAGATTGAGAATGAGACTGAGTGATGAATAAATTAGGTTAGGGTAAAATGTAGGACAATGAGTTGGGTTGGGAGTTGGGTTGGGTTGGATAATATTGGGTTAAGTTGGATAATATTAGGTTAAGTTTAATTGTAATTGGATTGGATTTGGATTTGGGTTTGGGTCTAGGTTTGGGTTTGAGTTTAAAGAATAAATTAATTTTAAAATAAAAACTTTTTTTTTTTTGGGCAGCGGTAGGGATCCCCGCAGGCCTCGCAAGGCGAGGAAAATTTCATAGGGAGAAAATGATCCTCGTCCTCACCCAGCAAGGAAAAATATTCCTCTCCCATCCTCGTAGCAGGGATTCCCATGGAGCCCAGCAAGAAATGGGGAGAATTGCCATCCCTACTCTCATTGTGCAACTAAGGTCAAAAAAAAAAAAGAAAAAGATTTTATCATACTCGTTTTCCTTGTTGGGCCTGGTTCAATAGTTTCATATTTTCATCTTTCAAAATCT